TGTCCTTTACATCCATAAACGTTATATGTCAGTGGAACAAATGGAGTGAGCTTTGAGCGTTCCACGATTTTTGGAGACTGTCTATACGCGGGCTTCCTAAACAAGCCTATATGTATGTTTGTCCAAGAAATTTTTGGATGAAATACAAACCACACAACTTCAAAATCGCATAAAAAGAGACCTTACAGTAGTTCATTTAAATAACAGAAAAACCAAAAAACGAATTATTTTATTAAAAGTTAATTTAAGATGATGCATTTCTCTAAAAACTTGTATAATTTAAACTCCAATTTAGTAATTTATATTCAATCTATTTTCTAACATTTTAATAATTGTATACTAAATTTCAAATGAAAAAGTTTACAAATTGTTATAATTTCTTGCTATAAACTATAATTGTATGAAATTACTGTCAGTTGTTAAAATTTTGAGATTCCTATTTTTATCATAGAATGACAATTTGTAGATTCTAGCAAATCATGAGTCAGAATAGAATCAAGTTTGTTAACAGAATATTTAGTGTATTATAGATTAATTTTATAGTAAATAATTGCAAAAATTTCAAAGATTTTCATTATTCTATATATTGTTTGGCAATGCCAACATATACTTTTTGTTTGGTTTTAGTTTCAAATTCTACTCTATGAGCATTAAGAAGGCTTTTTTTCAAGCCTATTAGGCTGAATGCCTAATGGGCTTGAAAAAAAGCCTTCTTAATGCTCATAGAGTTGGGTGGTAAGGAATAGGTTTGATATATAGGATAGACTGCCCATGAAAAATTCCCAAAGTTCATAGTTTGGACTCAAGTCCAAGCTGTGAACATGGGTTCCCAGAATGACAAACTGATTCTTTTACCTTGTCCATCTGATCATCCAGTATTTTGATTATCCTATATGACAGTCATATTTATGTTTTAATATTATTGTATTAAAACATAAATTAACAATAATTCATATCTCAAAATAGTTTCATATGACTGTCATATTAAAATAGAATATATGGCAGAAATTGTGTAATTCATATATTAGTAAGGGCTAGAAATAATGAACTGAAATCAAACAGACCATAATCTATATAACAAAAATATATAAAAGCACCAAGATTAGATATATTTTTCTTTTGAATAATGAAATTATTTAAGAATTTATGGAAACATTCTGTCATAATTATCATCTACTAAAATTGGAATAATAAACTTCTTATTATCACCAATTTCCAATTTTATGTATTAAAGAATATCAGCAATAGACATTCATAATTTCTAACCAATAAAATTCATAACATGACTTGTGGATACTGAAATATATACATGAGAATATAGGAAGAGTTACAGAATAATATTGATAGATGATATTAAATAAATTTAAATACTAAAATCCTGAATATGGTTTCTTCCATTTATTATTGAAGTTTATCTTCAATAATAAATGTAAGAAACCATAAATTTTGTTTTTTTTGTAACTGTAATCATTCTTCTGTGCTTTGTAGAGAGATTTTAGAAATTGATTAATGTTTTTATTCATAATATTTATAAAAAAATTCTGAATTTATTTAATACATTAGCAAAATAATAAAAATAATAAAATTGTTGAAGCACATTAAAGATGCCAGCAAATATGTCTAATCTGCTGGTTGTGTAGTATGTATGTTTTAATAAATTTATATATTATTTACTTATTGTTTTCTGTATACTAATGCATAATTTAATATATATTAACATATAAATAAATCTTTTTACAGATGATAAATTTCATGAACAATCAGTTTACAAATTTGGTCAAATTGAATTGCTTCCAAGTCAATTATTTTATAAAACAGATTTGTCAATAGCTTTTGTGAATAAAAAACCAGTTTTACCTGGACGTATCCTTTTTGTTTAATTTAATTTAAAATTATTATTACAGTAGAGCATCGATTATCCAAATCAATTGGGGACTGGGATTCGGATAACTGATTATGTATGAAAAAATACATTATTAATATAGTATAATAGTATATTTTTAAAAACTCATGTTTAAATTTTTCTCCATTGTGTGTCGCTTCGTGTTGAATTTTCGTTGATGTTAAGCCTAGCAAAAATTTTTATAATAATAATCGTGGCTATTGTATTGTTAAAAATTATTTCTTTATTTTGTACAAACAAAATAAATATATAGAAAAATATAAAAACAAAAAATATAAGAAGTTACTCTAATATCAAAAACATTCAGCAAAGTCTGACTGGAACGCTTTCGGTTGATCAGCATTCGTATTATCAACGCGCTACTGTATATACGTAATACTACAAATATTTGTTTTATTAAAACTTAACATTAAATAATTAGATGTTTTAGTAGCATCTCGGAGATGTGTGGAACGATTTGGTGATCTTTCACCATTGGAAGTAGCTGACCTTTTCTCCTGCGTGCAAAAAGTACAGAAAGTTGTAGAGAAAAAACACAACTCTAATTCATCAACCATCACTATTCAGGTAGAAAAAATTATTATTTAATCTTATGTAACCAGGATTCAATATTTTTACATTAACAAATAAATAATGTTTCATTATTATAAGGATGGTTCAGATGCTGGTCAGACAATAAAGCATGTTCATATACATATACTACCTCGACATCCTGGAGATTTTCAAAACAATGATGAAATTTATATAAGAGTATGGTTATCTATTTTTAAACTTTATAATAATTATAATGTGAAATGCTAATAATAATAATTTAATAATTATATATATATGTATTTAACACTAATTTTATATATAAAAAATTAGCTTTTGATTACTAAAAAAAGAGGGAGTCTTCCATCAAGCAGATTTAAAAGTTAAAATTAACTTATTGATGAAGGCTCTCTTTTCTTTAATAATGTAGAATAGGAATAACATGTTTGATAAGATACACCACACAATTTCTTTAATTTCATAGTTACAAGAACACGATAAAGAAAATAGTTTGTGGAGAAATGAAGAAGAAATGGCATCAGAAGCACTTGAATTTAGAAAATATTTTACTACAAGTTAGATTTCATTTAGTGCAATGTAATTTATTTTCAATTTATTTTAAATGCAAACATTTTGCATTTATAATTCATTAAAAGGTATTTTTTATATTAAAACCTTATGTTAAAAGATAAAATAGTTCTAATATGTATTATCAATTGAATTGATCAACATTTTTTAAAGGCATTTTGAAAATGTTAGATTTTTTGTTTTACAATGACAATTTAAATACATTTTGATGTTGACATATAGTCATATACATGTAAATGATGAATTAAAAATTATAACTGAGCTTGAAAATATTTTTGCAATAGAAATTACCTTGACAAATGTTTATTGGGATTTAATAAAAATTGTTTTTAATAATAAAAGTACCTTTTCATAAATATCATAAATTCATCAAAAAAATAGTAGTTATTACAGCTGGATAATTTTATTTTGCAATTGTTTTTAAAAACATACAAATTAAATTGAAAGTTATGCATTAATTTTAAAGTTGTACTGGGGATTCAGAAATAATGATAATTATTCAATAAATAAAAAATTTAGTTTTTTATAATTATTATCAAGTTATATTTTTAAACTTAGAAATTATAAGAATCTAAAATCACATATAATTCCATAAAGATTGCTTGAAATGAAAAAATTTTTTATTCTTAATTTGTGTATGACAGTGATAATACTGTTATATGAAACAAGCAATTATTTATTGTGACGTGTCACAATGCCAGCTTGCAATTTTTAATTTATTTAATTTAAAATATATGCTCTCCACCTCAAATTAGTAGTGGCTTGCCCCTGTACATCATACTGTATCATACCTGCTAAGTTTCCACTTTGGCCATTGCTTGTGAATTTTGTTCCTTAATTTTTTTTTTTTGGGTGAGACATTTATAAGATGTGTCAACTTCACAGTACCTCAAGAATATATTTTATGCAACTATTAATAGCGACTAAATCAACCTTTGCTTGAATTGCTAAAGAACTGATTTCAAGAAATGTCCAGTTGAAGAAGCACACATAATTAGCAGCTTCCTTAAAATTAAAATGATTCCATAAGGGAACTCTTGCAAACAGTCTGGAATTAACGTTGGTGGCACAATTAGAAACTTCGGAACAAACTGCAGTATGATCACAACAAAACCTATTGGTAGGGTAGGTTTTTAAGTGAATATTTAATGTGAAGGCTAAATCAAGATAATTACCATGGGTGGGAATAAGAATAGCTTGGGAAAATTTTTAAAAAATAGTAGATTTAATTTATTATAAACCTCTTTGGGATCTGGTAAACAAAAAGCGAGTTTATGAGAAGTCCATGAAATATTGGATAAAATGATTCTATGTGGAAATTTCAGTTTATGTTTAGAGACATATTCCGAGGAAATAAGAAAATGAAGAAGAATTCAAAATATGTTTTTACATTTTGGATGAAGATAAACAAATTATATTTTAACTGTTAAATTTCTAATTATGCGCCTTCTAATAAAGTTTTTGATTATATAGATTTTAACCCAAAATTGACGAAGAATAAATTATAAGAACTCCTCCACCATGTCGGTTTTCATTAGGTGAGAAATAATTAAATCCGAGCCGATTCATAAAATTATTTACTTACATACTGAGAGCTGGCTTATCCCTCAGTTGTATGATGTATAAATTATATGGTTCAGCAAGGACTGCTGGCAAAGATTGGAGGTATTAATTTAAGAATACTTTTAAAAATGTGCAAATTTCTTAAATATAGTCACTGTTTGAAATAACCATTTTGGTATAGGATAGAATCATTCTCGTTATTAATTGGCAAGAAAATGTGAATATATTATATGCCAATTTAGCACATTTATCTGTACTTTTACAAGAATGATAAATACATGCCATGACAAAAGATCTGGAAAACATTTTTGGTCATGATGTGGATTATAATCAGTGATTTCTATTCTTATAGGAAAAAAGAATTCATTACAGTATTGATGATAATTTTGTATAGTATTTTGGATGAGGGAAGGTAATCAAAATTTTTAATAATTACAACAGAAAGTCTGATTCAGTTATTCAGATTTAAATTTAGGACAGATTTTTCAACTTATTTTTTAGGTTTACAATGATGATATTTACATCATTGAACTAAAACAAGGAAATATTTGTCAAGTTTTTAAGGTGCTTGAACTATTGTATTTTCTTTGTCTGAGATGCATCTTATAATTGCAGATCTAATCAATAATTGTTGGCTGGACTTGGTGGTGCATTACGCATCAATAATTGAATAGCATGGCCAAAAACTTGTTCAACCCGAATGCTACTATTAGCATGCCCCATCATATTAAGAGGTCGATGCCATTTTGAAAGAAAAACAATCTTGGCAAATTTTGATGTTCATGTCAGTTTAAACGATCTTTAACGATCGCAAATGTTTAAAGTAATTTAAGTTTCATTTAACTAATATTAGTATCTCGTTATTGCTTTGTATTTTATGAGGATGTTTTGAAAGTATCACATTTGATGTGGATTTGGAAGAAATTAGCAGCACCATAGTTTGCCTTTTTTCCTCCTGTGGGCATGTGACGCAGGTGGGTTTAAAATTGCATCTTGTGTTTGCTGTAGAGGAATGGAGTTATGGAGTAAGTCTTTGCTCTTTCACCTAGGGATAAATCTGTGCCAAAACATCTGAAGTGTGATGTATTCCAAAGATTGCCACTCATCGCAAGGGCTTGTTCGATCTGCTGCTCAACTCTGGCTCCAGCATGGAAGTTTGAAGAAAAAAGCAGCTTACGGTTAGAACTTTTGCAATGTGCCCCATGGGCCTGAATTACTGCATAGTGATGTCTTCCCATTGGATCAAATAGTTTGTAACAATCAAAGAAATATCATACTTCAGTTTTAAAAAGAAAGAAAGATTTTCTGTAGAGGGGACAATATTTTATGGTAAGAAATATTACAATTGATGATAACTTTTGAAAAGTTTTATTAATGACAATTTATAAAATTTGATGCATGACTAGATAAAATAACATCTTACAGTTGTTAATATGTAAAAGTTTTATGCAAATTCATTTGTATTATAATTTAATTTACAAATAAATGAACTATGAGCTACATAAATATATGTACAAATAAATTTATGTAATATTTAATTACAAATAACACAATTTATATTATGATATCTAAGGAAATTTTAAATGCTTACAAGAAATTTGTAGCCAAACGTTTGATATCACAGACAACATTCCACAATGCTTGCAACAAGTGAAAATCAAATATGATAAAAATTTGAACATTTAACTAAACTTTTTTGTTTTTATCAAATATAATCTGCTTTACTTTTACTTTTTTGAATAAGATATTGCACTTTCAACCAGTCATTAAGTTTCTGTACATAAGTTCTTTGTTTAACGAGAGCCGACATGCACAGTCGGATCTTCGTTTCGTTCCACTCAATGTACTTTTGTGCGTCTTTTTTCAGTAGTTCCAATTTCTCCGTCTTTGTTTCGTCCAGGCTGACGCGCTCTGAAAGGTATGGATTTATTCTGAAATAAACATTTGTCGGAAGATGATCCTGAAGAACAATATGGAAAGCTGAAATAATAAAAAAAAACTTAACTTTTCTTATTAAAATCGTGTCATAAAACTACGTGAAATATTAAATAATCCTCTGGCATAATTTGTGTGAATATAATGACTACCTCCCTGTCAATATTTAATGGGAATAATTCCAGTCAAATAATGAGGTGGAGGTTTTGACTTAGACATGCACTACTATTTTTTTTCTTTAATGGAGAAATAAAGATAATGTATATTCAAATTTCAAATCTAGGAAAGTACATTTTCATATTCCCTCAGGTGACTTATCTTTTGTTCTTGTCATTAGTTTACAACAAAGTAATGCAGCATATGTAATCACCAAACAAATCATGAGTAATTTGTTGACATAAAAAAAATATATATATATAAAATTCATAAACATAACATCACAAATATCTTTGCCTTCTTTCCATTGTTTATGCCAGTGACAGTCCAAAACAGAATTCTTATATATGGAGAATTCTGTTTTGGACTGCCACTGGTGTAAACAACAAAGGCGGCAAAGATATTCGTGATGTTTTTTATATTTTTTTAAAAATTAAAAATAATTAATTGGCCAAGATTTTAAATAACATATATAAAATAAATATGAATAGTAAGGAAGATGTCTAAACATTGATAACCATTTATTTTATGTAAATTTATAAGTCCATTAATGTTGAAGAACTCTAAATGTCACCAATTTGTACTTCCTTGTCACTTTTGAAGTGTTGCCTTTCCATCCATTTCTTTGGCCCAAAGAGGTGCGTATGGTACAGTGTTCACTTTGGGCCTTCTCATAATATGACACCTATCCAACCTTCAGCAAATTTGTGGTGCCACTCATTCACTCATCTTGATAGTGTTGTCACTGTATTGTTCGCAGTGAATTCATTCTGGCTGGTTTGAGCCCTTTAGCAAAAAAACAGCAGAGAAGCACAATTCAGTTTTCTTGTTTATTTCCAGCATACACACTCGTCATTGATTATGGTAGGAATTCTTTGTCCTGCGGTCTACCTAGATAGTTTCTGTAGCATTCTGTAGCTAGATAATTGCACTTTTAAATACATTCATTGATTTGAACTACTTGTACTGCTAGTAAAAAGATTATATCAAGAAATCATGCTGTGACAAGGCAAACTTTGCTTAAACAACTTGTTAGAATGTTTATTTGATATACAGCAAGCAGAGCTCAAGTTAATATATCACATTAAATTTCTTCATCATTTTTAACATACGAATTTTATTAAGAAAATGAAATGGGTACACTGACAATAATAAATAAAAAAATGAAAAATCTGTTTCATTGCATTTATTATAATTTTAATAATTAATTATATTGAAAAATAGTTTATATTTTTGAATATAATTAGTTTAGTAATAAGGCATCCTAAACAAGATAACTATAAATATATTTAAAACATCCAGATTATTGCTGGTGTGTTAAGAATCAAAGAAATACATAACAAAACAGACTTTTTCTAAGTTGTGTGTTAAGGTCCAAACTATTTTACCAATGATTAAAATAGAGTAAGAGAAAAAATAATTACTTGAAAATTAACTATCTCCCTACAGACATATGTAATGACATTTATGAAATATTCAGTGTAATTTTTATCTGAATTGTACAGAACAAAAGAAGACAATAAATGTGAGAAATTTTATTTTTGTTCCTAACAAATTTTAACCTACAAGTACATCTACGACTTATTCTTAAATCATAGCTATATAATAATAAAAAACTTTTCTACCGATATTTTTTTATGGAAATAATTTTCTAGAATGTCCATAACATAAATGATCTGCTTGATATAATAGTATAATGTAGTTTTCTTTGTATTTATTGATAATCTATGAACTATCACTTTTAACATGAGATGTCTATCATATATTAAATAGTTATTTGATCTGAAGATAAATTTGCACTGATAAGTTATACTGCTGTAGCATCAGTTGTACATTTTCAGTAAATTACTCTTCAGTTAACAATGTTGCTAAATCTGATTAATATTACATCTTTTCAAAATGATTATGTAATATTGATTATTTGAAATCATCTAGTGAATATTTTTTAACATTTTCATATGGGGAAATTATTTAAAATATTACACAACAAAGATTTACAAAATGTTGTCACTATCTAATAAGTTCATAGAGTGCAATGAAGCAACAGAATGGTTACAACAATTATTAATGATCTGTTATGATTTATGTAACCGTGTTGTAATAGTATAAAAATATAATTGTAAATGACAAGATTTCAATGAAAAGAAACAATATTAAATTTTATTATAAGATTCATAAAAGCAATGAAGCAATTTATATTGTTGACTCCACTCTAATTGGGTAATACCATATTTTGAAATATGTAATGATGATGAATTGTCCTTATTTTTATTATTACGTGTTAGGAGTGTGTGTGTGAGTGTCAAACCAATACCTTATTATTTTCTGATTGATATGCTGGAGGTGCGAGTTTTTTGTTTTGAGTTGTAAAAACTTTTAAGTTCTAGGGTAAACTCTGCAAAAGCAGTTTGGGTGAATAATTTTATATGGAAGTTGATATGAATATTTATTCATACTGGTATTAGTTAGTAACTTTTATAAATCAAATATTACTTACATTCTGTATCTGTTGCACTGTCAATTACTTTCATCAGCATTGTCATCAAACTAGTGGAAGTTGTAATTTTATGTGACGTGGGAATAAATCTTCCATTACCTAAAGATAATATACATTGAATTTTTTCCTTTGGCCAAAGTAATTTTGCTTCATGAACTGCTAAAGCTGTTGGATTGTTCATTATTAGACCTCCATCCTAAAATATGCAATTATTAAATATTTGGACAAAATTTAATGAATTATTTATAAAGAAAAAGTCTTTACCTGATGGACAATTCCATCTAAATGATACTGCTCAAAATAACCCGGTGCTGCAGCAGATGCACGGATAGCTTGCCACAATTTGTGACTGCAATTACCTGGATAAAGTGATTGTACGCGATAAGGTAGTGCATAATTTCTGAATAGAAATGGTTGCAGCAAAGGTTGATTCATTACAGCAGACACAGCAGACATCTAATAAAACTCTTTCAATTAATATTAAGAAGAAATTCAACAATTATTTATAAATTACATTTTTAATTTTTCATATATTAATACTAAATTATTTTACTTTTAGAATATGCAACTTTTTGATAAATTTAAAAGGATTATTATTACAATAGAGCATCAATTATCCAATCCCCGGTTAACCGACCACATTCTAGTTGGCAAATTCAATTGTCCACTAGTGATGTGGTGCTACAATATTTGGCTGTCGTCTTGGCTACTTTATTATTATTTTTGTTAAATTTTTGTGTGTTTTAGCTCGCAACATTGGCTTGACCATGAAAGGGAGGCCAGTATTTAAATGAGGCTTAATTTTCTAATTATGAGTGGTTTGTTGTTTTGTGAGCAATAAAATAATTTAAAAATAATTTTTAATGATACAATAGCAATGATTATTATTTTTAAAAAAATTTTGTTAGCTTAACATCGATGAAAATCAATGCAAAGTAGGTTAATAGCAATATACTAATTACATAGTATAGTATATTAATATATTCTAATAATGTATTTTTTCATACTTTTCGGTTATCTGTTTTTTCAGTTATCCAACCAACCACAGTCCCGAGTCGAATAATCAATGCCCTACTTATTACCGTAATTATTATCCTTTGTAATTTGTCAAAAACCTTAAAGATAGATACAAAATCAAAACTATTTTTGCATATCTACTTCATTCTATAAAACAAAGATTGTACAGTACATTTAAGAACTCTCAAACACAAACATTTAGAAAAATTTCTTTTTAATGTAAAAAATGCAGTTTAAATTATTGCCTAGTGGATTTTTTGTCAGCTGGATCTTTGCCCAATGACAGTTTTTGAAACATCAAGCATGGTCTTTTGTTTGAACAAATCGAGCACTCATGGAACCATTCTTCAGAATTATTTTTCAGAGTAATTTCCATTCAATACATTTAAAAAGAAAAAAAACCTTTATCATCATCTATTAACTTGTTTGTATGAACAGGAATAGTTTTAATTTATTTAATAATAATTATTGCTGTATGAATTTGTGATAATATGTTATGTCCAGTTTTTACACAGTTTTTTCTGTGTACGAAATAAAATTTCATTCAAAATACAAAAAAAAATCCTAAGTTAGAATATCTAAATTTCTTCTTATTCAACAACAAAATTTTTCCAGATATAAAATTTTTATATTACTGTATTAAAAAAAGTTCAATGCTTATTCATTCAATAATAATTTAGCATTTTCAAAATTTAAATTAATCTCTTATTCAGTCTTACTATTTGTGGGACATAGCATTCTTTTCGGAAGATCCAGTAAATCATTTAAATTCTGTAATTATATTATTACCTGAGAAGTGTGCAATGTACTGTACAAGTCAATAGAGTGACCATAGAGTAAATGTCTGAGTTTCATATACCATTTGCATACAATGTCTTTTTGTCTGCTGCCTCTAGGAAATGCTATAAATAAAAATGGCAACTTCACATAGAGAAAGCATTTATGTTATATAATTTGCAAAGTTGAAATCAGTCATCATTGTGAAACAGGATTTTTTGTTTAGTGGACAATTTCAAAGTGATCCACTATGTAAGGCAAACATTCTTGTTGCACATTGATGACTAATTCCAACTTTGCAGACTGCAAAACTCAAAATGCCTTCTCTGTTGCAGAATTGCCTTTTTTTTTTTTTAAGGCACTTCCTGGAAGCAATAGACAAAAAGACATGTTGAATACAGGTAGATAAAACTAACATTACTCTACTATTGATTGGTGTAGGACATATACTTCTCTAGTAATGATTAATGCAATTACAATAATTTAAAATGTTATTCTTTTTGGAAGACCATTTATTTATGTATTATCTAAATATGTAATTGATAAATTATCAAATCTGATTAATTTTTTAAATTGATATGATAATTATTTATACTTGACATGATATTATATTTAATATTTTCATTAGAAGACCTTTACCTTTGGATTTCCTTTTTTTCGAGCAGTTTCATTTAATGACAGCTCTCCATACACATCTCTATATTAAAAATAAATTTTGACATTTAAATTACATATTTAATGACAAGTTTTAAATCCATAGAAAACTTACTTTAACATGTTAACCCACATATTAGTATCATAGTAAGAATGACTCCATATTAATCCACCTGTTCCTAGTATTGGACTTCTTTTAAATAATTCACAACTCATTTTTAGATATAACTTTTCACATTCATTAATTGGAAGATTCAAGCCTCCAATTAACATTGTTAAAATAGCACCTGTACTAACACCACAGATATAATCAAACAGTTCATGAATAGGTTTTCCAGAGATAGTTTCCAAATAACGTAGCATTTCAATAGCAATTATTCCTCTATCAGAAAAAAAAAAAAGCATTTTCCATAAATAAAATTTAGGGAAAAAATTGTTTATTTAAGTAGAATTACCTAATTCCTCCACCATCTATTGTCAAAATTCGTACACCAGTACTTCTTGGAGGATCTACATAACCGAGTAGAGAGAGTACCTCCTGTGCTGATTCTTTTACTTCACTTCCACTTGTTTCTCTTAATTTCAATGCTATTGGAATTGCATTTTCCTGAAAATGCAAATTATTAGGTTAGATGGTAATTAATTCAAATGGCAAAAAATATATGTGAATTAATAATAATAATAATAATAAAAAACAATGAAAATTGCCAACCTTCACCATTGTATTTTTTTCTTCAGGATATCGCAACAAATGTTTACACATTTCTTGTAAACGATATAACTTAGAAGTTTCTGAAGTTGCAGATAACAAAGATTTTGCCAAAAATCGGCTTCTATTCTCAATGCTGCCCTAAACATATGCAACAAAACAAAATTATATCTTAAAATTAGAATGAATTTGTTTAATATTGGGTTGTTCGGAAAGTAAGTTCGTTTTTTTTACCACTAGATGGATTAGTGGTATTCTTCCCACCATTTTCGTTCTAAACCATATTATCATTATATATTTTGACAGCTAGCATTTTATGGCTTATTTGTAAAAAATTTTGTTTGATTTCGTGCAATTGTTTATTTTTTGTGTCCCATCAAATATGGAAGATCGAAAGCAGCATCTTCGGCATATTTTGGTTTTTTATTACCAAAAAAATAAAAATGCCGTTCAAGCAAGAAAAAAATCGTGTGACATGTATGGTGGAGATATGTTGACAGAACGACAGTGCCAAAACTGGTTTACAAAATTTCGTTCTGGCAATTTCAGTATTGAAGATGCACCATGTTATGGATGGCCAATTGAAGCCAATGAAAACAAAATAAAAGTACCGATTGAAGCAAACTGCGGAATAACAACACGTAAAATCACTAAGAGATTAAATTTATCAAATTGGTTTAGTTTCAAAGCTCGATATATGAATTCCACAAGTTCTTAAAGAGAAATGCTCTATTTGGTGGGATATTAAGGAAATTTTTTTGGAACTTTTACCAGACAATTTAACAATTGATTCGAAAGTGTACTGCATTCGAGTAAACAAATTGCATAATATCATCAAACAGAAAAAGCCAGCCAAAATTGATAAAAAAAACAGCTGTAGTGTTTTACCACAATAATGTCAAATTTCACACAAGTTTGGTAACTTGTCAGAAACTGTTATAACTTAGATGGGACATGCCATCACACCAATCATATTTGCCAGATCGGGCACACTCAGATTATTACTTGTTCTGGTCTGTACAATTTTTTTTAACTGTGAGACATTTACTTGAAATGACAATGTCAAAAATCACTTGGATCAGTTTTTTGTAAGCAACAATCAAAACTTTTATGAATGTGAAATTGTGCTACTACCAGAAACGATGACAACAGGTATTTGATCAAAATGGTCAACATATAATTCAATAAAATATTTATTTATCATAAGAATATTGCATTTTTTTCCCACGGAAAAAAAACAAACTTACTTTCCAAACAACCCAATAATATATTATTGTTATTAGTTACTACCAATTTTTATTAAGATAATTTACCAAAATTAATAATAAAATCATCATTATAATAAAAACTGATAATTAATCTTAAAGTATTAAAAATTTTAATAAATACCTTTGCAACTTTACTTCCTAAAATAACAGCTTTTTCATTGTTTTGAAAAGAAGTCCAATTTCTTGAAACAGGAAATTTAAATTGTTTAGTTTCTCCTCTAAACCAGTCAAAAAATATTTTTTCAAAACCAGTTTTTGATTTTTTTTCAATTATTTGTTTTTTGCTTTCTTTTGACAGCAAAACATCATTTGTATCACTATTTAGCCATTCAGTTAAAGCTTTATCAATTTCAATTGATTTTTCATTTTCAATATTTGTTACATGACCAGTAGATGACAATTTTAACTGAGAAAATTTAGGTGCATTGCTTGTTTCTTTTATGGCAGGAGTAACTGTAACTTTTCTTATTATATTTTCATTAACAGTAGGTTTCCAGTGAAATTTTACAATATTAACTAAATTTGTAAAATCTTTGAAAGTCCTTTTAATTTTAAGTTCTCTCCTTTTAAACAGTTTGGAAATGTGAGCATATGAAGGCATTTTTGTATTTAAACTGGTCACACCTTTTCTCAGCATTGACAGTAAATGCTGAATTTGATGAATGGTTCGAACTTGAGGTTGAGGAGAGGCAGTCATATTGCTTGTTAACAGTAGATTAAGAAAAAAATTGAAATATGAGATAAGAGTTTTCTGTGATCAATTCCTAAAAAAGAATAATTATTTTAAATATAAGAAAAAAAATCATGTATTTTTTTATTGACTAAAAATTATGTACAGTACACACAACCATTATTAAATAGATTAAAAAAATGATCTTAACATATTGTCAACAATATAGTTAATTAGATATAAATTAATTCCAAGAGAATCAAGACAATAATTTTCAAATTTTTTAAATACCATACTTTAAAGTTCATTTGGGAATAGAAAAAATAAGCAAGTGTTAATAATGTGATCTATAACATTAAAGTTAAAATAGTTGTTTTTTGCACATAGCAATATAATTTTCACATTATAAATCAACAATATTAAAAATTTTTTGAAAAATTTCTTGAAATTTTGAAAATTAATTAAAAAGAACAAATATTTCTGCTTAAGATATTGAAGTTTCTTAATATAAAATTATTAAAATTTTGTAATATCCGAGAGTTACTTTTTTGAACAATACAGTTTCAAATTAATTTCAATAAAAAAAAAAGAATATTTTTTTTAGTAGTAAAACAAATCTTGAACAGACAGCAAGTCCTCACTTAACACTGCTGAGAAAACATACAATTACGATTATTAAATTTTCTTTACAAAACAGTAAAATGATTCTACAGAGTGAAAAGTAAATGATGGAGGTTAAAAACATGATCTGATTAGAGTAATAATATCAAATTATATATCTTTTTTATATTATTTAGCCCATAGTAATTTTGGTTTTGTTATATGCCATTTTGCTTAACATAATAAATAATTTTTGTTTTTGAAAAGTGAAAGTGTAGTTAATAACTTTAGCCATACAGAAACCATAAAATGCAGCAAAAACTTTACTTTGCTGCATTTTATGGTTTCTGTGTGTTCTGTGTGGTTTGATATATCAGTGCAGTTTGAGTGGTTATAGTTAATAACTTAATTTTTGTTTTATATACTTTGCTCCATTTATTACATATTAAATAAAAATACTTGTCAAATCACTCAAACTGATTTATAATTACTGATATATATAGTAGCTTGAGGTAGTAACACAATATTTATCATATAATTATCAAATTATATAAAATAAATATTTTACATGCAGGTCTTTGTATAAATAGGTTATTCATCTTAAACTTTAATCTGAATACTGTCATATTTTACTTAATCAAAAAAAGATTATTTACTATTTTCTTTTGTCAGGGTTTAGATATAATGGGGGGTAATGTCGAAGGTAACACAAAGAAAGTGGAGAGAACTAGAAAGCGATGTCCGTTAGACCACAGCACACATTCCAAACTAAACTAACCTGGGCCAGAGTACAACTCCCTTGACGAACATAACTCCACAGACCCCACACATAGCAGAGGAGAGGGCGCGACGATCACAAAGACAAAGGTCACATACACAACAACTTTCTAACACCCTCTCTATCGGTGTGCCCGGAGTCTGCGTATACACTGAAACTTATCATTTAATAATTTTTCTTTTCTTTTTTTTGTACACCCATTTATTTGAAATTATTTTTCTGTCCTTTGGGCGTGGTACTAATTCCCATGTATTATTTTCCATTAAAGACTTATATTCCGAATCCATGGCATTTAACCATTCGTGTAATTTGACATCTTGATTGAAAGAACTTGAAATGGTAATTATCTTTTTAGGTTTATCACGACCTTGTTGACTCTGTCTTCTTCCAATTCCTCCAGAAGGCGGGCGCGACTGCCTGCTAGCGAAATTCGGCATGAAGGGATCCGAATAATTTTGTGGCGGCACAGGAGCGGATGCAGGTCGATTATCGTCCGGTAATTTCTGGAGATGCGCCTTTTCTTTAACTATTTCCACCGACGGAAGGTTTCGCGGTTTCTGCAAACAGAGTGGTTCTCCTTGATATTTTAATAGGAAAGCCCGATCGTATATCTTTTTACCTTCGGGGTTAATAGGACTCCATTGATCTTCTGAATAATTATACTTTAATTCTGGCTCTTTTATGGAGTTTTCAGTCACGGAATTTTCATTATTTTTTATCCTATTCTGGACTTCCATACTAACTCTTATGTTTTCCTCATTTTTCTCGGCCACTTTCCTCTTCTCTTCCAATAAATCAGTATCTGATTCGCAAGTGTTTATCTGAGGAATGACCTCGACCACATTTGAATCTGGAGTAGGTGATAGCGATGGAATAGACATATCCTGAGTATTTACATCTGTTTTATCTAAAAATGCATCCATATCACCACCCTCTTTTGTTTCTCCTTTTCTGTTCAGATCTTTCCATTTTTTGGCTTTACCTTTTTCTTTTAAATCGTTGAAGTTTAGATGACCAAGTCGTTGATGCCATCTCAAAAGATTGTCACTTTCTTCCGCATTCAATACTGCGTCAGATCTAGTTTCTACTACGTACAGCTGATCCTTTTTCTTTGCTATCAAGGCGATGGAACCATCTTGGCGAGTGACAGTTGCAGTTTCTCTTTTGAATGTGACAGAATATCCATGTTCTGTTATTTTGGGTACAGATATCAAGTTGTTTCTCAAATCTGGAACGGCTATCACGTCTTGTAGCTTGATTGTATTATTGGTGTTGTTGACACGCACGCTTATATTAATTGTTCCAGTTCCAACGGATCTTAATGCATCTTTTCCTGCAGTTTGTATTTCTTTGTGATCTTGATTTATCTCTGTAAATTTCGTACAGTCGCTACACATATGTGCGGTTGCTCCGCTATCAAGACACCAGTCTGTTGAGTTTAGAGGTTGAGCCGTTTGTACTGTGACCGCCATAGCGTCATTCTTTTTGCGTGTATTGTTCCTTTGCGAATATCTATTATTACTTCTACACTCAGCTGCACGGTGGCCCGGTTTAGCGCATATGTAACATGTTCCTGTGAATTGTGAAGAAGAACGACTATTTCCTTTTGGGTAGTTTTGTCGGAAGGAACTTTTCTTTTGTTTCGATCCTATGTACAGAGCACTTTGTTCGACTAAAGATTCTTGCTTCTCTTGTCGTCTTACTTCTTCTTCAATTAATTTTATTTTTAATAATTCAGGTTTCGGTATGTCGTCTCTGGACTCGATGGCAATTCGAAATGTCTCGTATTCATCGGGCAATGAATTTAGTAACATTATAGATAGTAACTCACTTGGAATTGGGATACCCGCTTCTTCTAATTGTTCAGCCTTTTCCATAAATTCACTTACATGTCTCGACATTGATTGTTCAGTTCCCTTTTTCATCTGATAAAGTTGTTTGTATAGCACTGCCTTTTTAATTGGACCTTTCGATTTATGTATCCTTTCCAATTCATCCCATGCTTCTTTGGAAGTTTCTGCCCTCTTTATATGGCTCAACTGGTTCTGCTTAACGCCTAGTAAGATTAATGCTAAAGCCTTTTCATCTTTTGTTTGCCAATCTATTCGGCCAGGATCGGTATCTGGTTTTTCTATGGATCCATTTACGTACGACCAAAGTTCATTGCAAACAAGTATGCTACGCATTTGTAGCTTCCACGATTCGTAGTTGCCATCATCGAGTTTATCTACATGCTGTGTCCCCACACTATTCATGGCGTTGCTCTTTGTTCAGACGGGTTATGCCTTTCGTAAGCAAACAAGTATATATCACTTACTTGAATCTCCAATTAGATGTTTTTCGTATGGTAAACCTCGATCATTAAACCCTTAAACCAACCACGCTCTGCTACCATGTCAGAGTTTAGATATAATGGGGGGTAATGTCGAAGGTAACACAAAGAAAGTGGAGAGAACTAGAAAGCGATGTCCGTTAGACCACAGCACACATTCCAAACTAAACTAACCTGGGCCAGAGTACAACTCCCTTGACGAACATAACTCCACAGACCCCACACATAGCAGAGGGGAGGGCGCGACGATCACAAAGACAAAGGTCACATACACAACAACTTTCTAACATCTTTTAAACTTATTTTAAAGTTAAAATTTTGATTAGAACATGTAAATCAGATAAGATAAAACAAAAAACTATTAACAAATTATAATTTCTTAAAATTTTAGACACTACATATAATAATAAACTTCTTAATAGTTAAATAAATAAAATTTACAATGTTGTATTTAATTAAATAGTAAAAATATTTAAAAACATTGTGAAAGAACTAAAATCAAGAATTGCTTTGATCATGCTTTATCAGTTATTAGATTAATGTGCAGAATTATATCATTACATTTCTGATAAATTTATCACTCTGATGATGAGTTTACTGTTTAAAATAATATTTATGCTAAATTTATGAATTAAATTTTCTGCAAAATACTGTTTGACAGTATAATGAAAATTGCATAAAATTTCATAATTTTTTTTAATATAAAATTATATGTTTATAATTATTGATTCAGTCTGTAAATAATGTTAAAAAGAAGTAATTTCCAAATCAAAAATTTTTTAATTAAAAAGAAAAATGTACTAAACATTTCATTTTTCTATAAAGTTTTGAACAGAACAATTCAATATTTATTTTTAATAGTTCTAAATGTTTTATGAATTTTATCTACTTCAAAATACATAGAAAATATTTATTAAAAAAAAAAAAAAAATCGAACTAACAGAATCTGTTCATGTTCTATTTTCTGTTCTTTAAGTATTTAAAAATCTGAAGGTTATTGTTATTGCTCTACTTAGTTTCACATCAAAACAACAAGGCTGTTGAAATATTTGAGAAACTCAGTTAACCTAAGATACTAGAGATATTATAAATCATCATAAAATGTGAATATTTGTTATAATCTTAATATTAACGAAAAAATTTGAAGACTTTTGTGAAGTTTTTAAATATTAATAACCTTAAAATGTTTCACTGCTTTGTTATTTTGGTTTTTTTTAAATTATATTCAAATTTTATTTTGTGTGTGTCTAAGATAAGCCAACTGATTTGAAAAACTGATTGTAACCAATATTTAAAAAAACTTCCAAATTACTTTATTTTCAGTAAAAAGTACAGTAGTAATGATTATATTTTATATCATCAATATTTTATTATATTATTTTATCTATCTATCTATCTATCCAGTGGCATCCTCTCTACAGAGGGTTGCATTTGATGAACTATTCCTCTCCATGTTTTTCTATTCCAGGCTTCTCTTAAATCCTTTCCAGTCCAGTCTTTGATGTTATCTCTCCAAGTCTTTCGGGGTCTTCCTCTAGATCTTGTCCCCTCCACCAGTCCCTCAATGACCGTTTTTAGTAGTTGTCCTCCTGATCCTCTAGCCAAATGTCCAGCATATCGTACCTTTCTTTGTTGGATATTTATAAGCAACCTTCTCCTCAAGCCCAGCCTGTCCAAAACTTCCTCATTTGTTATTTTCTCCGTCCAACTTATTCTTTGCATCTTTCTCAAGCACCACATTTCAAATGAGTTAATTCTTTCCATCATTTCATGCGTAAGAGTCCATGCCTCACATCCGTATGTTAGTACACTCCAGATCATTGTCCTTAGGATTTTTATTTTCAGTTTTATGTTAAGGCCTCTGTTTGTTAATATATGATAGATCTGATAAAAGGCAGCTTTTGCTTTATTAATTCTGCTTTTAATTTCCATTTTACATCTATTATCACTTGTTATCCAGCTTCCCAGGTATTCAAACTTTTTAACCCTTTCAAGTTCCTTATTTCCCAGAATGATCTGGAGTTCCTCCATATCTTCCTTCTTT